CTTGGATGGTTGAGGTATGTTTTCATCACAACCCTTTCTAGATTGAAGGCTCACAGTTCTTATATTCTAGAAAAATATGGTTCCTGCCTCACTAACCTTAACACTGGCATTCCATCAGGAATTAATTATGTGCTGTCAAGTCATTTTCAACTCCCCACATATTTTCTTCAAGATGACTTATCACTAACCTATTCTATCATGTCTCTCAATGGTGCGCTCATTACCTCTGTAACTGGGCCCACCCACCTTGCTGCTGGTCATTCTCTTCTTCTCTTTCCTTCTACCTTTCCCAGCATAATTTGAGCCTTTTTCAAAGAACTGGGCCTTTGCATCATGTGTCCAAAGTAGCATAATTTGAGCCTGGTAATTTGTGCCTTGAGTGAGATTTGTGCCTTTGAGTTGATTTGTTCAATGATCCATTGGTTTTCTTGGCTTTTCACAACGCTGTCAGGAGTCTTCTCCAACACCGAAGTTCAGAAGAGTCAATACTCTTCCTTTCCTGCTTCTTCAAAGTCCAACTTTTGCTTCCATACAATGTCACAGGGAACACTGTGTCTTGCACAATTCTGATATGTGATATAAACACTTCACAGCATTGATCTTAACAGGCAGAAACAATCTAGCACTTTGCTATTTTTATTGTTAGATGTTCTACTGTCATCATTAACTTAATCATCTTTATGTTTAATTTAGTCCCACTTTTTCACTGCAATCTTTTAGTGTAGGGCTTGCAGAACTTTTGCATTGTTAGCTATTAAAGTAATATTATCAGCATGATGCAGGTTATTGATGTGTCTTCCTCCAATTTTAAAAACCACATATCTTTCAATCAAGCTTCCTTTATTATATTTTACACATATGAGTCCAATAAATAAGAGAGTATGCAGCCTTGTGACACACCTTTGCCAATCTGGAGTCATTGTTTCACTATTTTCTGTCCAGGCAGTGGCTTTCTGGCCTGTATATAAATTTCTCATGAGAAAATGAGATGTTTTGGTATTCCCATTTTTCTGAGCACATTCCACAGGAAGATGAAATATTATGCATGTTTGCTATCTTGAGTTACTTATAAAATAATAAAGATGGGATAAAAAAAATCTAGGACAAAATTGATCTCTTCAAAGATAAAATATATTTTTCAAATAAAAACTAATGAAGTGTAGAATGCAAGCCTGCAGTTTGCCATTCAGTATGGAAAAAAAAAATCCTACTTTTCTGCATGTTATGCAGAACATCTGTGTAATACATAGTTATGCAAATACTATCATTATTTGATCAGAGCTGATAAGTAACACTAAAATCCCTACTGCGCTGTAGTTATAGTTCTGTATGGTCTGCACTAATTCTGTGCAATGAAGAGAGGCAGCACTTAAAAGGAGCAGAGAGAACACTTTCTGTTTTATAATCTTCTCTCATATTCTTCCTTCCCTAATCATTTTAATAAAAATGTATCTATTTTCCTTGGCCTATATATAACATGGAGAGAACATCATAAAATACTTTTTAAATATGCAAGCATATAAAATGAAAGCATCAATGTTTACATTGTGGCCCAGGAAATTCTGAAAGTTCAATTTCCCTATGGAGGAAATTGACTCATATTAATCTCTCATATACAGAGACCTACAGTGGCACTAATTGGAACAAAAGAAAAAGGAAAAAATACCTATGGCCATTATCTTAACATTTATCTCTAGGGAGAGTCTAAGATATTTTTAGATTACAGGATGTCAAGTGCACAAGACATCAGAAGTGCACAAGACACTAGAAGTGCACAAGACATGAGAGGTCAGGTCCCTCATTGCTTGCTTACTGTATTTACTTTTTCCAAATTTCATGGAATGGTCCTTTCAGTAGCATATTTTTAAGCTGTATTAGTTTTGCTTTAAGGCTGCTTCACAATTATTTCCCATTATTTCCCAATGACTTTGAGATTTAATGGTTAGACAAGGGGATTTTTTTTTGTTATAGAAATGGCTAGTATATATGTTGAGGCTGTAACATTATTATGCTCATTCTACAGTGCTGAAAAGAGTCAGAAGTTAATGCTTTTTCTTTCTTTCCCCTTTTATTCTACACTTCTCTCTTTCCACATTTCCATTTTTTCCACTAATTTCATTTTAATTTGCATTTTATACTCTAATGTTTAATAGAATTATATTATTGAATATCATCTTTACTGACTACAATGCTGTCTAGATATATTTGCTGCAGTTCCAATAATTCCTAGTTAATATGGCCAAAGTCTGGAAGTTCTGGGACTTGTACATGGTAAATATACTTGGAGTCCACTGGGTTGAGGAAGATAACTATACTAATGCCAGTCTTATGTATACAAGAACACACATAGCTAGATACATACATACGAACAACATGAAAACACAGTAATACATCTTGAATGCATTTGCAGATACAATACTGATATAACTGATAAATAGTGTAACTGTTATATCCTATGGAAGAGGAGGATAACCAGGAGGAGGTAGTTGTCAGGAAGATTTTCTGTCTGTATTTTTGGATATACATTACTTTTTTGAATGGATAATGTCAAGAAAGCATCTCTCCACAGCTTTAATGTCTAAAAAACTATCCAAAAAACAATGCTTCCCTCATAAAGTCCTTGAAAGACAGCAGCCAATTAGAAGATAAATGACTGAGTATTATATATTGTCCATATTTTTATCCTTCAGTAAATCAGGCTGTAATTATTTTGGTTTAACTAAAATCGGATAGCAACTTTCCAGGTCGTTTCATGCACATCATAACAGAGTTACTATAAACATCGTGCCTCAATGAATGTTATTATGATAAATTTAAATAAATAACTTTAGCTTCAAAGCCCCTCAGAGCTTAAAGGTGGGGCACTTGAAGAAGTGCCTCACACCATCCAATTTGGAGATCCTTTTATGCACTGAGTTACTGCTATGAAGGAGAACTTCTCAGAGATCATACCCTATTATGCAAATCCCAGAGAAGTTCACTTGCATGCACTCTGACATGTATCTAGTTTGAATATGTATTTATGAATGCTAATTCCACATTTCTCAGAATGGAGTGTCTTGATCTGACAAGAATAAATATGAGTTATGTTTCTTTCCCAAATATCTTTCCATGATCTATTTATATGTGATGTTATAAACATACTATAGAGCAATGATGCCAAACCTTTTAGAGACCGAGTGCCCCAAAACCCCCGCTCTGCCCCTGTACCACCCCCCGCTCCGCCTGCCTGCAGGGCCTCACCACAGATCACCCAGGCAGCCTTGCAGCACCATGGCGGCCATGCCCTCTGCCTGCACCCTGCAGCATCATCTGCACATGATGGGGCATGAGAGTGGAGTCTTGCCCCTGCTGCCCAGCTACCATGTGCTTGGCTGCGCAGCTCCTCGTGGGCCGTATCTGGTGGAGCCTCTCCTCCGGGCAGGCTGCTGGTGAGGAGGGGGTTGCAGCGGGAGGCGGGGCTGGGGCAATGGCACACGTGCCCACAGACAGGGCTCCAAGTGCCACCTCTGGCACACATGCCATAGTTTTGCCACCACTGCTATAAAGAATCAAATCAATATAGTATAAAGGTAATCCTCAACTTACCACCACAACTGACACCAGAATTTCTGTTGCTAAATGATGCAGTTGTAAATCAAGAAATCACATCACTGGAATGCTTAGCAATCCCAGCACTCCCTGTTGCCATCACAACTCCAGGCACGTGTGTGCCATTCAGTTGCCAAATCATGCATCCTGTTCTTGCAATACTTCAGAAAGCCTTCAGAAAACTTCCAAGATCTTTCCCAGGTCTTGCAAGAATGGATATGTTATTTGAAGAATAATGGCAGCTTTCTAAAGCTTTCTGAAACGTCTGTCAAAAATAGGCAAAACAAATAAGTAACTTGTCTAATTATATCTCCAATACAATTATCAGCAAAAAGTCCAGAGTTCTAAATAAATTAATTAACATTTGTAAAAGTCAATATTCCACATCTAAACCTTTAGCTGTAACAAAATCCCATTTAAAAGGAATAAAATGGTCCTAATATCCTAATGTAAACAAAATAAAAGAAAGCCAAAGTATGATGAAAAAAGACCATTTCTCATTTACAAAAGATAAACTCCAATTATTCACTATAATCTCATGTCTCTTCTTCTAGTTTATCACCACAAGAGCCTTCAACATGTAGCTGAGGATTTATGATTGTACTCATGAACCAATCTAATTTTACCATTTTATTGCCAATTCAGTTCATCATCAGAGTTGTTTCATTCTGGTGATCTATTTTCAGTTTTTACTGTTCTTTAACAAAACTGATATAATCTACAACTGAACTCTTCATCCCAGACTTCCAACAGGAGATCATTTAAGGACAAGTGAAATAGCTTTTGTCCCAGTACAAATACGTAAAGAGTCTCTCTTTTAACTTCTCACTGTTATGAAATTAATATTGAGAGGGCATATTTTTTTTATGACCTGAACGTGAGATTTATTTTTGGAAATTCTTCTGTCAAAAGATTTATTAGAAAAGACTATAATGTCTCCCAAGGGAGCTTGTTCTGTTTTCGTGGTGACACATTCAACCAGCCATGGCTGGCAGGGACCAGATGCATTAGGGAAATGAAACTGCAATTGGCCTGAGGACTGCACCAGACTTTATCTGTCATGTTGGGCAAGCTTTCCCAAAGTGGATAGGGCTGGGGGCTAAACTTTTAAGAAATAAAAATTAATGCATTAAATATGTACAAAGCTTAAGGCATTTATTTTACCCTTTAAAACCTTTCCAAATTTTTCAAAATGCAAAAATGGGACCCACGTGTTTGCCCCCCCTCCTTTCTGGAGACCACAAAGGGATGCTGGTGAGTTCATGTGCCCCAGGATTAGCCCTTTATCAAATCACTCATCCAGTGCCAACCTATTGTGGAAAAAAGGCATGGATGTGCATTTTCCTATCCCCATCATTCTCTGGATAGAAAAAGACTGTAAAATAAAGGAAGGAGGCAGACAGACTTACTAGGCACTCGGTTAATGGCTTTGAGGGGCCTCAGAACTCGTACAGTGCGGATTGCAGACAAGTTAATATTTTGAAGATCCAGGGAATATTCCACCATCCTGCAAAAGATAAAAGATACTGAAACTATTATATGTGGTTAAAACCAACAGAGTAAATGCGGGAAACAGGAGTTAAAGTTGCTCATGCTGACAGAATGGTACCAAATCCCTTTAATATTTCATTTCTTCTTCCTTAGTCTATCCTGAGCATTTGCTAGTAGGAAAGTATTGGGGGAAGCATCACTCTGCAAATCGTGTTATAGGTTGCCACTTCACTATGGCTGAAGAGACCAAACTAATGAGTAGCATGCAGTGCTGTATATCTCAGGCTGCATCATTAGGATATGATGAAAGTATCAGGCTATTGATTCAATAGTGAATACCATTTGGGAATCTTTAAATCTAAGCATGTGCATTCCATAAGCTTTATGAAACCAGCTACCCAAATCCTCAGGTTCAATTAAAAATGCCACCCTTAATCTTTAGGACTTAAAAAGTAGCAGATCAGAAATTTTCCTTCCATTTGTTCCCATCATATTTTATTCTTGATCATACTGGCTGGGCTGGATGCCTAAATTTGTTCAGCAGAATCTGAAGATCCACATGCTGTAGAGAATGAAAATTTCAGGACCCCCATAATTCAATACTTTAAAAAATTAAGTGTTTATGTGCTAATTTTGTACTGTGAGCCTCTTCAGAAGGGGTATCTGTATCTGTATATATATCTATAAATAAAGTAGGATATATAAATCAGAATGTTGAATCTCTAACAGGAAACAGAGATAGTATGAGGTACAGATCTTCTTTTGTATTGTCTTCTTTGCCTTGTAATATCTAATCCAGGATTCTAATCCAGGGTTAGAAGAATTCAGGAAATGTTACTGATTTCTTCTAATCTTGGATATGACTTCATAGAATCTGTTCTATTAAATCAGAGAAGAGGATGGGAGGAGAGGAAGAGAGAGGGAGAAGAGGGGAAGAAGAGGAGAGCAAAAGAGATTAATGCACATAGAAAAAGAGTGGAACTTTGGTTGCCAATTGCAATCACCATTGTCCCTATTTTGACCCTTTTTGCAGTTGCCAGTGAGAAGGTAGCATTTTCCTTAAGATTAGTTTTAAAATAAGTGATCTTACATACATACTGGCTGAGTTCACATATTATGCTGAGCTACAATGAGGTTTGCTTGCTTATGGTTTAAATGAATTTCAGATTCAATGTAATGGTTTGATTAGGTAAACCATGGCTTAATGCAGTGTGGGAATTCAGTCACAGTTTATTCTGTTTGGCACCTGCCTTCCAGTAGAGAAAACTAATTCAGTGCAACCTTCTCAGGAGATCCAAACCATTACCAAGCTTGTGTAAGCCGGGTCTCTAGGTTTGCAAGATTCAAAGAGAAGAATAGATTTAAGCTTTATGAGGCAATTAGATAGGACCTTCTTGAATCAATGTAAGCAAGCAACTCACAAAATAGTACAAATACACAGAGACAACATGCCACTGAATGCTCGGTCTATAAAGTAACTGTAAAAAGAACTCCTGCCATCCCTGACCTGGATGTATCCAAGATGCACCATTGGCTTGATCTGATTTCTCTACGTATTCATAAACTCCTCTCAAGGACATATATGCTTGCTATTACTGATTTCTTGTCAGTGGAGGAAGAAAGATGGCAAAAAGAAGAAGAAGAAGAAGAAGAAGAAGAAGAAGAAGAAGAAGGAGGAGGAGGAGGAGGAGGAGGAGGAGGAGGAGGAGGAGGAGAAGGAGAAGAAGAAGAAGAAGAAGAAGAAGAAGAAGAAGAAGAAGAAGAAGAAGAAGAAGAAGAAGAAGAAGAAGAAGAAGAAGAAGAAGAAGAAGTATTCCTCAACCTAACATCCTCCATATATGCTTTTACTTTTAAATTCCACATTGTAGACCATCTGATATAACTGGAAGGTACAAAATCAAAATCCAATTCTCCTGAGTTCTGCTCCTGAACTTTAATAGCAGAGACTAGAGTTGATAGAATTAAGTGGTATAATTAATCAATTAATTCATGAGTCATATTAAAATTCAGAGCAGTCTCCCATGGGAAGAAAGTTTGGGTCTGATGATATTGTCATAAACAATTTATGTTCATCTCTCCAGTCAGGGGATGCATTCAAGATGATCTTTCAAAGAATAAATGTTTTGTCAGTGACAGTTTTCTTCTTTGATCATTAGCACATTGCTATAGATTTTAAATGTTCATTTTAACTGATAGAATAGGTCCATTCATAGGAGTACTTGAAAAATCAGTCCTTGCTACTGGAGGGAATTTGCTTTTGTCCACAAAACATTTTCTATTTCTTTTTGCCCAGAAATATAAGAATTGATATACATAATTAGGGCTTATTCTAACATGCAGCAGAACCGTTTGTGCTGCTGGGGGGAAAAATAGATATTTTGAAATTGGTAATATGAAATTAATTAGAGATAGATGTGTTGAAACATAAATTATATTCCTTTTAATATATATATTTTATATTAACAATATATTATTGTTATCAATTATTTCATTAGTTAAAATATTTATAAATTGTTTAAATTGCCTATAAATACTTTGTGCAGATTAATAACTTTAACAAATAGAAGTTTAAACAAATTTAACTAAGAGTGCTTCTCATGCATACATCACACAGCATGGCAAATATAATCACAGTCTAGCTTCTATGGGGTCTCAAATGTCTATAATATTGCAAATTAGCAGTGTACAAAAAGGGAGAAAGTTAGAATCTCAATAGTTCCTATTTTTCCTTTTTATTTATTTTTTTTGTTTTTAATTGTTTTTAAATTTATTAAATTTAAATTTTTTAAATTTATTAAATTAATATTGATAGAATGTTTCTCTGTCTTTATTTTCAATAGTTATTGAAACAATAGAATGTTAATAATTTCAACTAATACGATACAAATATCATTTTAAGATTTACAAAATAAGAACGAAAAAAGTTCCCAAAGTTAAAGAAAGACATTTATGTTATGGTGCCATGTACAATGCCTTCTTTCATATTATATTAAATTTATATATATACTACTGGTTTTGTGAGCTTCTGAGAAAATATATTGGTTTATTTGTTTAAACTATGAGGGCATCTGACTTAACAATTCTGGGTGGTTTATGTTTGCTTTTACACCACATATATTTCCTTGGTTTCACGTCTTCATTCTAGAATTATCTTTAATCATCCACAAAAGTATCCTTTTCCTAGAGCTTCAGCAAAGGTATAGAATACTTCTCATCTATGTTGACAGATGCCCCATCTGTGCAATGGCTGAAGCTGGTGAGGCAGAAAGTAGCAGTACTCCAATCCAAAAAAACATTGAATAGATGTCTCAAGGCTAGGAAAGGAATCCAACGTAGGAGGAAAAGGCCTGCAATTTAAACCCTGGAGCAGATATATATACAGAGCTTGACTTTTGTGTTCTGCATGTAGAGAGCTTTTATCTTTTCTGCAGTAAAGCCAATTATTTGGCTAAATCATGTCTCTGAAGCTTCTGCTGTAAGCACATTTCTTGATTGCAGGAAGAGGCTATGGAAAGCTAAGATTTATTGCTAAGCCAGGGATGAAATCTGGATATCTAGGATTGGAAAGGATGAATGCATGAACATATGAGTAGCTGCCATGGATCCGGTTGTGTTACTGCAGGCAGTGTTCTCTTTTGCCCCATAGCTACAGGGCTCATTAGCACCTAGAAGCTACTTCTCTTCATCATCAGGTATGATTTCACCACTACAAACATTGTATCAATTCTGGTTCAGTCCACTGTGCTGCTACACTTCAAGGACAGTGGCAAGATTATCTCCAGTCAGTTCCTTGATTTGACTGACTGCTTGTGTTGGTTTCTACAATGCTTTGCAAAAATACTCAGAGTTTATCTTGGCCTATATCTGGCATCATTACAGGCAAAAACAAGGGCTAATTTACAACTATTCTTGCAAGAAATGAGTACATGCTTAGGCATCTACAGTTGGAGGTAGAGGTGAGTCATGCAGTCCTAGGAAAAAATGCAGCTGCTTTAAGAGGATAGTTTCCCCAAAGCACCTTTGTGCCCTGAGGTTCTGCACAGCCCTACTACCATCCGTTCAAACAATATTGAATATCATATATAAATGCTGACTTAGCTGTTAAACAAATGTTAAAAGAGGTTTTTTCCTACTTTGGCATTTACTGACTGCTTAACATAAAATTATCATTCTGTCTGGTAAGGAGAATTCTTGATTGCCAATATAGAGGAAAGTTTGATATATTTCCTTATGTACAACAGAGCCCTTTTTCTTTTTGTCTATGCCAAAAGCACTTAGAAATCTGCAAGCACAAAAACATACAATTTTAAAAAACCAAAGATCTCCAAAATTCAATGAAAATAAAAAGGAAAGTCTTGGAACCATCAATATCTGAGATCTTGTCTCTTTTATTCTGCACGAAGGTAGCCTTCAGCTTACAACCTGTTCCTTAGCAAGCATTCAGAGTTATGACAGATCTCCCTAGAAATATCACAGTCATGTGATCACATTTTGGGTGCTTGACAACCAGCCTACATTTACAGCTGTTTTTGCTAGAAACTGGTGTTTACTTCCAGTTACCAGCAAAAAAACACTAATTGGCTAAAATGGGTTCATATCGTGACCATGGCATTCACTTAATTACCACAATATTTGTTTAATGACTGTCACAAAAAAAGGTAATAAAATCAGTGTGGTCACATGGTGACCTGCTTAATGATTGCCATGACCTACAATCTTAATTCTAGACTCAATTATGGTCATAAGTCAAGGACAACTTTTATTACCCTGACCAGTATGACCACTGGTCCTACATTAACTGGAACCACTGGAAATAAAAAGTTTGTCTATGCCTTAATTAATCTTCAGGTCAGAAGATACTAACAAAACATTTTAACAAGAAACGAAGGGAAGAGTTCCAGCTTATAATACTGCTCTTTCTCTGTGTGCTCACTTGACTAGATTCTGTATTCATTTGTATTTTGAAAGTTCTATGACACACTTTTATTTCTTGTTTTGTTTGGATCTCCTGACCTT